TAAAGTTACAACAGAATCCCTGTAAAATCTAGAAAATTGGAAAATTCATAAAACTAAGTAATTATTGAAAAATGCTTAATCTTGATATTTAGCGTTTTTCAATAGTTAATTGCATATTTATGGATAATTACTAAGTTTTTTTGATTTATCGGATTATATAAGGATCCTGTTATGTTATTTATGACACCAGGTATATCTACTGGATCTTATTCGCCAAGTTTAAAATTCTTCAATTTTATGTTAATTCTAAGACGTAGTATCACTTTAAATAATTAGGGACACAACATACCAATTGAAACACTTCATATCACTCTGCTACAGGTGTGTTAACTTGACATCTCTTTCAATGAACCCACATAGATCATAATGTATTTTGTCATAACTGAGTAAGTCAACTAACTCATAATATTTATTTGGTTATTGGGTTTGTCAGCTTGGGATTCCTTTCAGAGAGTTCACATGACTGTTTGCTAATTATGAATTATAAAAAACATTGTAATTTTCTATTGTTTCCTTCCAGGAATATCTTACCTGATTCCGGTCTATTTTGTGAACTATTGAACGCTGCCTTTGAGGAACCAAGTGCCACTAACCATGCCTGCCGCTCCTGATAGTTAGCAGCTTTCACATAATATCTCTGTTCTCCAGGAATTATCAGGTCCAGTCTTGTACTGTCTGAATGATGAACTAAAATGAGAGAGAGTTTCACATCCAATTTTTTTTTTTAGATAGATACGGTACCTTATTGACTAAGAACTTGTCTTATTGAGACTTCAATCAAAGTAAAGAAACTCATCGAAATATCACCAACAAAAAATATTAACAAGCCTATTGAACCAAAAACTTGTATAATAATACAGTATACAAGGTTTTTCATTTTCATCCTCAGAAAAAGGAACATTGAACCTCGTATAATAATATATTTTACGAGGTTTTAAATCTGACTGTTTATATACGTGTTATTTAATTGTGGTTTTGGGGTTATTTACCATCAAGCTAAGAATACGAGGTTTTGATCACAAGATCCTCGCTTTTACGAGCTTTCAAACGGTACCAAAAAGTCAAAATGATCAAATATGGCATATACGAGGTTTCAAGCGGTCCCCAAGATATTCAAGAATAAAGTCAAGCAAACCTGAGATGTCACAAGCTGACATTTTAATGGATCCTTTACAACCATTGTTAACATCTTCTTGTGATTTATAATATGATAAAATACCATTATCCAGTACGAACCAACGGGGCTGCCAACCTGAAAATTTCAAAAATCAAAAAAAAAATTTTTAAAATCGTCTAAATATCCCTTTTAAAGGGATACTACGTCTTAGAATAAACATAAAATTTAAAAATTTTAAAATTGGCCATTGAGAGCCAGTAGATATACCTGGTGTCATAAATAACATAACAGGATCCTTATATAATCAGATAAATCCAAAAAAACTTAATAAAAATGCAATTAATATTATGATTAAGCATTTTTCAATAATTACTTAGTTTTATGAATTTTCCAATTTTCTAGATTTTACAGGGATTCTGTTGTAACTTTATGACACCAGGTAAGTTCACTGATGAATATATACTCATATTGACCATTCTTGAGAATTAAATTTTATGTTCATTCCAAGACGTAGTATCACTTTAATCAGGCAATAGATCATAAATTCATATATTGGACTTACTGATATCAGTATATCACCCAGCTATAGCCTATCATATGCATTTTTTTTTTTTCATGAACATTAGAGAAGTCAGTTTTTCTTATCATTCGTGTCAACCCAGTTCTAAAAGGATAATCTGAGAAAGATCACTGTATATTAAAAGACAAGGAAAAGCTGATCGAAAAAAGATCAAAATGGACAGGTTAAAAACTAAAAGGAAGATCTGTAAAGATTAAATTTACAGCCTGTCACTGCAAAATGTACAGAGGTGTAACCTATTTTCGTGGATATAAGGATTCAACACCGAATTTCGTCAAGGTTATAAAAACGAAAAAAAAAAATTATGTCTTAGATGTTTCCTCAGATATTCTACAAAATAATTGAAATTGGTTTATTTCGATTTTCTTTATGAATCCTTCACTTTGACCCATATTTCATGAGCAACCAACTCGACAACGGCAGCAGAATGCGTCACCTATTTTCGTGTACAATGTTTGATCTATAAATAAGTCTAGAAAAACACGTTGTATGGATACCGGGTGGTATAATTAACTTCTCTTAGTATTTATCTTTAATATCAATTTATTATAACTAGTGACAATTCCTTCAAAGAACCACGATTTAAAAAAAAAATAGTGACTGACAAAATATGATACGTAGCGTGATTTATTGCTAAAAGTCACTGAAACAATATAAGAATATGGTCCACTTTGTGTTCCGTAGAAATTTTCTGCTAACACGGAATCCGCTAGTTGATCACGTGACTTCATTCGTTGGAATATATTCTAGCAGACGACACTTAGAATTCCGATTACCGCTTGGGATTATAAGGAAATACGGCCGATGAAAAATGGTGACGTTTGGTAATAAGTGAAATCCGCCATTTTGTATTTGTCAAAGTATACATTAATACATTTTACCTTGCTTGAAACTACTGAATTCATTCTACTAGCTGATATTGTAGAGAAAACTCATGTTTATCAAAACAAACTAATGCGGAGGTCGCGCAAGGTCGCTCATGTAAATTATTAATCCTTTCCGGAAATCCACGAATAATAGGTTTCCACGAAATTAGGTTACTTGACTGTAATTATTGTACTTTTTTTTTTTTTTTATAAATATTAGCCTATAGCAATATTTAGCATGTTGATGTGCCTATTGTTACTGTAGGCAAAGCTCACAACATTGTAGTAGGCCAAGTCATGCTGGATCACGTCATTGTTACTGACCCAGTGAAGCAAGAAGCAGATCCGTGTTGTTTTGGAAAAAATGTAAACAAACCAGCATTTGGTCATAAATCGTTAATTTTTA